CTATGTTTTAGCAGTTGCAAGAGCTGCTTCCTTCATTTCAATCAAGGCATCTTCAAAGCACTTCGCCAAAAAGCCAGGATCAGGGATAATGTCTCTGGCCACCAACAGTTGTATATCAGCCCTCCCAGCATAGCTCACCATGTGCATTGTGAGTGCCTGGAAACACAAACACTCATTATATACAAATCCATTATACATCAGATACCAATTAAGCACTTCTGTTCGTATAAAGAATGTCACTAGGAAATTAAAATTTGGAGAAGAGGCTGTACATGGGGCAAGCTGGACGTATTTGCCCGAATGTAAGCTACTGGGTTTCCAGCCAGTGCTATCTGCTCTTGAGGACCAATTACATTTGAGATTGTAAAGGTAGTATTACAGACTATCCTATAGTTAAGAAAGCCAGCATACTGCAACAGAAACAAGTAATCAAATAATAAATCATCAGAAAGAACACAACTATATATATCAGACTTAGTTTATGGATTTGGTGCTGTCCATCTCCCCACCTTTGGTCCTAACCAAGACATCGCCAGATCCCCAATTTTGTATGAGAATGCAGCCTCCAATGACTGTTTCTTACAGTCTACCATCTTCTTTGCTCTCTTGAGATATTGCAAAGGATCATCACCACTACTTTTGTGACAGTAAATAGGAAGGAGCATCACACCGAATTTGTTACCTCTTTTTATCAAGTTAGGTAGATCCTGGGAAGTACCAGTCATTTCCGATGAGATCAAATTTGAACACTTCTCAAATATAACAAGGGAAATGGAAATGCATACTTCTTGGAAAAAATAGAGCCATGGTAGTATAAGAACTGAGAAAGCTGTGACAGACCTCTAACATAAGTTGCTTTCTTAAATTAACCATGGCTTCTCCGGTTATCCACAGACCCTTCTGCAAGCCTGACAGTAAACATTGAACTCAAATTATCCACCGGTCGTCATCTGATGCCGCCAGTTTTTGATTCAAATGTAGAAGACAATTCCTAGTTGCGAAAATTAATGTTACCATTTTGTGACCGGTGATCCAAGTATCTTGATATCCCAGATGACACCACCGCCGAAAACACATCATTAAAACTCTGCAATTCATCTTATTCACATAATCAGGATTTCATGGCAATACCATAGAAGTAATGCACAAAATTATCGAAGGTACAAACATTGCGGGTTATCAAATTTCACCGAAATGTAGGAGGAGACCCATGAACATATACATTCCGAGACATTAGCTATCATTATCATATAACATTCAATTTCTTGACCAACCAAAACTTAGCCGAGTTTATATTTATTAACTAAAAAAATCTTCATTTACGATCAAGGCCGGGTCGATATATTTATACAATATCACTTTACCATCCAAACATTCAAATAGCATTCAAATTTGATACAATCTCAAACAAGTTTCTCCCAAATTCGAGCTGTGTACGTTATTCTAAATCTTAGGATTGCCTTTAGAAACCTAGGCAACAAAATCACCCTGTTTTGTGCAATAAAGTCTAAAGAGACAAATTAAGAAAGAGAGAGACAGTCCAACTCACAGCATTGTGGACAGCCATTTTTACCACTTTCATGTCCTGAATCGACAACTTGGCCGTAGCCAGCTTTCTCGGCCAGAGCTCCACCCCTGCGCCGCCGCTGATCACCGTTGTCCGGTCACGAAGCCAAGTGGCCCTCAAAGTAAACTCCAAGGCAAACACAAAGGTAAAGCACAACATCATCAAAACCCTGCACAGCCTATCCCACCAGTTCCCGCCCATGGGACCTGAATCTCTCTTGGTTATCACAGTGGGCGGCGCCTCCGGGTCATCGATTCTCCGGCAACACGCCAACAGAATCGACATCAGCGAGACCCCGTCCCCCAGCGCGTGATGAATCCGGAACACAGCGCACCTATGGACCATCAGGAGGTGAAGTTCCCACAAAGGTTTATCCGCGCTCAGTGGAGTGCTGACCGATAAATCCGCCACGTACTGGTTCACCGCCGCCTCCTCCTCATCATCTTCACCGGCGCTGGAATCACCCACAGACTCGATCCGATTGTTGATTACAATGAGGTGTCGGTCGAGGTCAACCTGCGTTCTCTTCCAGTACTCCCGCCCGTGCCGGTCCCGCATCAAGAGGCTGCTGAATCTGGGGTGCTTGAGCATGAGCGACGACGCAATAGTTGATTTCAAAGCATCTATATTGATGGGGTCTTTCCCACGGATGATGCAGTGGATGATGGTGTCAAACTCCGGCGATAGAAAAAGGCGGCCGGCGGGAGTCACTGGCTCATCGGAGACAGACACCGGGGAGAGCGGCATGGTCGGCAACGGTCAACAACTCCCTTTTTTTCGAACAGGAGAAATTTCAGGGAGACGGGGAAATATTGTAACTTTTCAATAAGCACTTAAACCTCTGCATGACTTAAAGATCATTGATGCGCGTTATCAGCCCGCCATCGACTATTGGTGCGACGGCCAACAATTCTTTATTGTACTGGAATCGAGGCACTTTTTATTTTTTTAAATAGTTTAGATGAAAAAATTTTATTTTTTTTAAAATAAAATTTTAATTTTTAATTTTATAAATAAAAAAAATATTGAAAGAATTTTTTTTATAAAATTTAATATGATTTAATTTTATATTAATTAAAATTTAATGTAATTATTAAATATCAAAAGATTAATAAAAAATTATATATTACAATAACTATATATTTTTTATAAAAAAATAAAAAATAAAAAATCAAACATAATACACTACTAACAATATTTCTGTTTGTAGATACCACTCTGCGTCTCTCCATGTCACGTGAAGAGCTACTAGAATCCAGGTACTTAAAAGGATTTTTGTGGGAGGAATCAAATTCGGACATCTGTAGGGGGTTGACTTTGTTGCCATCATCTAGGAGTAGGGCCGGCCAAAACTCGAGTTGCAATTAGGGACACAAGGCGGATTAAGGAAGCACTCCAAATGTTTTCCAGGGTACGTAGACTATTCCACTGAAAGTCTGAAAGCGTTGTCTTCTATAAGTAGAAAAAGGACGAAATGTTTTGCAGGGTATAGATCATTCCTTCACGTCGAATTGTTTCCCAAGCCAATAAAAGGGTGAGAATGAGAAGTCATGCCATAAAGCCATCTCATCAATTTTTATAGAAGGAAAATAATTTAGAATAAATTTTTATATTATTTTGTTTATATAATTTTATATGTTGTTTAAATAATAGATTTAATTTATATTTAAAATATATAATATT